ACTAGGGGGATATGGCAAAAGCGGGAATCAAATTCGAGCGGCGCTGCACCTGGATGTCAACCAAGATGACGTTGAGTACACGCTCAAAGCTATCAATGCAGTGCTGTCTTACTAACCAAGCGATCATTGTTTTGCAGACAGCAACATGACTAACTAGTACTACCTCTGTCCCGGTTTTATTGCTCCAAACGGCATTTTTGAGAAACGAACACAATGTTTTCTGAGAAGTATAGAGTATGCGGTATGTTTCAAAAGATCAGAACTCGGCGAATTCAATTGAAATCAAATTGAGTTCAAATACATCCAATCAAATACAGTACGAGAGAGCAATCAGAAGACTCCATACTGTGGCTCATATAATTGAAATAACCACGCTCAATAGAAACAAAGTACGGATAAAAGGAACGACATCCGTACATACAAGCCTCAAATAACGTTAGTATTTTCACCGTAACTTCGCCAATATTACTCCAATTTTGATTGGCGCTATCGCTTGGCCAATTTCAGGCCAAGGTCGCTTGCCCTTGTCGATTGAAGCAGATGCTGGCGTTGTCAACGCCAGTATGGAATTGCTAAGTGAGTGTGACTTGTCTACAGTCATCTTAGAATTGGCGAGCGAAGTGGCGAAGAACTTGGAAATGAGCGATGTCTGCACGGAGCTTGAGCGTCTGGATATCGTGGAAGATTCCGATGATGAAGAACTTGACATACCAGTGGTACCAGTACCATCGGTACTTGGATTAAACATTTGAAATAAATGTACTTGATTTTTGTATGCGAAATACAGTGTTTTTTCTTCAATCCACTGTTGCACGTTTGGAGCAGCAATTAAAATGGAACTTCAAGAATCTCGTTTGGAGCAATAAAACCGGGACAGAGGTAGTAACAAACAGTACTAGTGTAGTACTTGTAATTAGATATTGTCAAATCGATTCGAAACTGGAGCCCTCAGTAGAATCGAATGTGTTGGGAGAATCGATTAATAAAGAACCGCCTGAGCCAATCAAATCACGTCAAGTGGAATTTCTGCCAATCCAAACGTTTGACCCCTCCGCATTGGGCAAAACCACATATATACTAATCGTTGTATAGTATAGTGTGTACAAGATTAATAGGATCAAATAGATTCGAAAGCTGGCACAATGTTAGAGTAAATCGAAATGTTGCTTCCTATATGATGTATGTGGGTACACAGCACAGTTGCAGTGTGTGCACGCATTTGATGGAACGTCAATGCTTGCTTTGGGTTATAACTAATCTTGATGGATGCTTTACAACAGTGTTAGCCTTATTTTGACCTTATTTCAGTGAAATAGGACCTTTTCCCACTGAGAAAGGACCTTATTTCAGTACTTTTTGATGACGTTTGGTTGTGTCAATCTCGTCAAGGAAAATAATATTTCCAGTGAATTATTTACCGGAAACGTTTCGAAATGTGCAAATATTTGGAGGTCAATGGACAGATATTTGAAACAAATAATCAAATATTTGGCCTATTTTGAGAAACACGACGACAACTCATACGGTACCTGCGGGACTCAGCAACACATCCCTCGCGTGCGTCGAGACCTTCGTCCCTGCGTCCCCAATACATAGTAGCCACATATCCACCTTCGCTGTGTGCCGCATGAAGATTGCTCGCTTCGTCAAGACGTTGTACTTCCTGCTGGAGAAGGAGTCGCTGTCGTCGCCGACCGTCGCCATGTGGGCGTCCGACAGTCTCTCGTTCTTAATCGTTCACCCCAACGTGTTTGCCACGACCTTGCTTCCCAAGTACTTTTCGCACTCGAACTGGACCAAGTTCATGGCGGAGCTCGCACGCTTTGGGTTTCGGCAGCACCCTGTGACCTTGGCATCGACTTCCACAGCCATTGAATGCAGCCACGTGGACTTTCAACGGGGAAACCTCAAGCGTCTCCTGCACATTCAGCCGAGGAGGCAAGGCGAGCTCGACCGCCGCGCCGTCGTCGACGACATCGAAGACAACATCCTTCGCATCAAGCGCGAGATCGTCAAGGAAGTGGTCGCCGCGCAAGACATTGCAGACTACTTGAGCTGTGTATTTGACGAATCCATCGATCCCCCCCTTCCGCGGACGTTCCAACTAGCGCTGCCGCTGCCGTCAGCGTCCACTTCAGCTCCCACACGATCAGGTCCAACCTGTTTACCATCCGCACAGCTGCTCCCTCGATGGAGATCATCTTGTCTGCCGTCGTCGACACCTTCGAACGCCGTCCCAGGCAGACTGATTCCATCCCCACCTTCGTTCTCCGCGACATGGGTGCCATATTCGTCCGCATGGCAACATCCTCCATCAACTACAGCCTTGGACGACAGCCTGGACGTGGTGTTGGACGCATCTACGTTTGCCATCTTGGACGCCATGTTGCAGCCCCCCGTCGCGTCGCCGTCACCACCACGACTTCCATGCGTTCCCTTGTTCCATGAACCCACCTCGTCTCCGCTAAGCGCCTGCAGTGGATAGATTTACGTCGCTGCTGCTGCGGATAGAAGACAGATCGTGCAGTACAATTGTCAGCCTAATTTATGTACTACGTAGTATTAGTACTGTACACATATCCCTTGAACCCCTTTGTATTGACGACGTGCATGGGAGTTTATGCTACGGTTTGACACGAGATGCCCAACGTACTGTGCTTGGATCGACTGTACGAGAGCACTCAACTAGACTCGAACTACATGCAAGCACTCCTAGTAGGCTCATGCAACAAATCGCTGGAGCAAGCAAAGTTCGGCCGTGGGTCCGCGACCGCAAAGATGCAGGGGTTAAAGCATGGCAACACTAACTCAAACCAAGCATGCACACGTATACACCATCATTCACTCCATCTACATCCCACGACTAGGCGGCGGAGGTACCTTCACCGCCGACGGCCGACCTTCACCGATGCCTTTCTGATGAATGAAACGGCGGAGGTTATCCAGATATCCGGATACTCCAACGATTGGTACCGTTATATTGGCGGCATAATTGCAAATTTCTTCCGACACGCGATGGACGAGTTGATTGCCGGCGTGCAGGGCTGTATGGACGACTTGCGTTCGATCGAAGCGACGAACCAGCAGCATGGCTTCAAGGCTACGTTCTGGCAGCAGAACAGCGACTTCAACCTCGGACGCGATGTCCTCATCGCGGTATTCCCATTCCAGGTCAACTACAACACATGACCTCACACTCGTCCTAGGCTGGTGGGTCGATCTCAAGCACTGTGACCAAGTTCTCATTGGTGCTGGGCAAGGAAACGGTGGCGTCGGACGCGTACTCGGTGTGCCACACCATGTTCCAACCCTGCGAGCAGCTGCTGGCGGCGCTCAAAGTGGCCGTGTTCGCCGGCGCCGGGTACGCGTTGACCAAGGAATTGTGCGCCAGTGTCCACCGCATCTTCGCCAACGTTCTGGATCTATCGACACGCCTTCATGTAAAGGACCTCGGCCGCGTGCCCGAACTCACGGGGCGCATCTGGGACGCCTGTGCCGCGCTGGAGACACTGTCCAAGTCCAACTTGATCTCGACAAAGCGCGTCATGCTGCAGACCGTCGCCGTGCTCAATGACACTGTGCAGGAGCTCCAGGGGGACGTCGCCGCCGCCAAGGACGCGCTCGACAATACCATTGACGATCATGATCATCTCGAGCAGCGCAACGTCGAGCTCGAAGACGACTTGGACTTCGACATGGGGAGCCAAACATTGACTGCCAACGAACTGCGCCAGCTGCAGGCGTGTGTGGACGTGCTTCAGATGGCCCAGGCCATTGCCAAGAAGGGTGTGCTGTCGCTCAACGCTGTGTCGGAAACCGACGGCCAGGACGGCTGCGTGCAGTGGGGCAGCTCGTTCCCGTCGCTCTACGATGCACTCCATGATGCTGTGGTCGACCTGGGAGCGGACCTGAGCCCGCCGTTCGAAGCCGCCGTCGTGGCCGATCACATGAACCTGCTCCAGCGCGTGGGGACAGACGTGCTGACCCATCTGCAGCACCAGCCTGGCCACGGAGTGCATGCGGATGTGGCCAAGGGGCTGCTGGCATTCCAAGGCAAAGCCGCCGCGGCCTTGCAAGTGTTGGCAATCGACGATGAAAGTAGCAGCAGCAGTATCTATTGAATATACATATAGTACTACTACGACTACTATTTATAGAAATTATCTCTTCATCTGGTACAGTAGTACAGTAGAGATGGATTGTGGGCATAAACGAGACTCGTGATGTTTATCGCACAAAAACTACAGTAGATGCTACGAGGTAGTAGTACTACATAAGAGTTGTTAGTTGTAGTAGTAGCTCGTTGTACTATTCTTATATCAAAATAGCAAAACACGTCGAATAGATCACTTATGTGTGGTACAGTAGTAGAAATATTGTCCTTTTACCAGGCCATCTGAAAAGTGGCATTCTATAAATAGATGCCACATTTGCCGATATTAACTTTGCGCTGGATGCCGAAATTAAGTGTGTCGTTTTTGCGCTCCAATTAGGCCTGTTTGCGCAAGCAATTCATTCGCAATTCGTGGTTTGCGCTGTTTGCTGCTTGCGTTAGGTCAATTCTGCACCAAAGTCCAAATCTATCGATATCTTCTTTGTACTGAATTTTGTATGTAAACCGAGGTCCTGTGGTGATTACACTAATTGAAGCCGCACACTAATTCGACGTTGATGATGGTTTCCGGCAATCTGATTGGCTAAATCCTACATCAGCCGATGATTCTTGTGTGCATTTGGTTGTGTCGACTTTGATTACGTGGTGGTGTGATGTTCTTAGTACTTCGAAGTATTACGTATTGTGGTGTGTTTATTCCAAACTATAGCGACATGGGGAATATATATAGTATACATATATTATAACCTGTATTCATATGTTTGGGGCTTAAAGTTGTGTAGATATCTCATGGTAGCGTTAAGTGGGAAGCTGGTCGTCGCCGTGGAGGGTGTTGAGCGTGGCGTCCATGCAGAGGAGCCCCACGAGTTTGCCTTCTTTAACCACAAACACTTGGGCCCACATGTACACACACGACAGCACGTACACATTGGCCAGTGGCACAAAGTACCCCACCTAATAATATATATATTTATGGCAAAATAATAATACAATATTTATATGAATAGTCGGCCTCTTTACCCTTGCAACTGCATAAAGATATATATATATAATATATATATAGGTGGGTTTTACCTGGGGCGGGTACGTGCTGATAGGCAACGCTGTGTACGACAACACATCGTATGGCGGACCAAATAGGATCTACACACAAGAAATACATGAATTACGATGAAGAACTGTATATATATATATATATATTCTGACTATATGGAGTGTCAACATTGAGGAGAAATGCTGCACACGTACAGTCTGGTTGCACAAGTCTTTATCATGCAAGAGCAAGTCGGCGGCATCGTCTGGCCCACCTACAAGAAGCACGCGTTACAAGAACAATTCTCACATGATAGAATGGCCCGATATATATATATATATATATATATATATACTAGTACAATATTACGTTACGACAATGGCTCAGCATTCTATGATTTATTGTCTATTCGATAGATAGTCAATCGACCAATCAAAAACAAGCACACGAATCAAGTGACCAATCAAACGCTGCTCTCGTCACCAAGTCTTGTATTAGTGTGAATCACGACATGATTGATTTCCATACATATTCATTTTCAAACAATCGATCGATGGGTAGAGAGAGATATTTGGCCACTCGGCCCTAAAGTAACAAAGTCCCAAGTTTGGCTCATTCGACCGAATATATATATATATATACCTAAACAACGAGATATGTACGTACTGCGAGAAGCCAACGATAGCATGGACAAAGCCGGGTAGTGCTTCAAGTGACTCTTTGATTTATCCCGTGCGTCGCCCCCTTGGTTGGCGCGGCGTCGTTCGGACAATCGCGACAGCACCAGCAGCAAATCCACACGGCGCACGGCACCCTATCATATTTATCAATCATATAAACCCGTTCAAAAGTAAAGCTAGTCATATATATATATATATATAGGTAGATCATTTTCACAAGAGAGAGATATCATATTTATCAATCATATAAACCCGTTCAAAAGTAAAGCTAGTCGATGTATCAAGCAAGTCATATATATATATATATATATATAGGATAGGTAGATCGTTTTCACAAGAGAGATAGTATCATGATTATTACTATTATCATGGTGGTGGTGGTACTGAGGATGACAAGGATAGCTTACCAAGAGCGTCCGGTGGTCGTCGCAGATGGGAATGTACAGCGCATGCTTGGTCGCTTCGACCGACTAAAACACCAGTATCGCATATTATCATCCAATATATCATGTCACAGATGAGAGGGGTAACCATCATATATATACATGACCTACTAAACTAGAGGAATGTTGATCGTTCATACCTGCAACACAGCGACGGCGTCAGCGTAGGTCGAGTGCAGCGACAGGGTGATAGGAATTGGCCGCATAACTTCATGCGCCATCTTGTGCGCCAACACGGGCGACGCAGAGATGTCGGCGCAGACAAAATTGAGCCCCGCCATCTTGGCAAATACGTCATAGATGCTCGGCGAGCTCATACCCCCAATCGAGTATGCCACCAGGACGGATAACATTACGGGCAGCATGTGGCTAAGCTGGCCTGCACGACACCGAGGAAAAATATTAATGTATATATATATATGAATAAACGGGCAGCTGGTGGCTTAGCTTGTCTTTATGAAACCAACGAAAATACTTATACTTAGATGTATATATGTATATACATTTGTCAAGTCAACAAGCGGGCGGCATGTGACTAATCTGGCCACCACGAAATCGTGGAAAATAATATTTTTAAATATATATATATATTCAGTCGCCACCACTATCCTCGATATATACAGACAGTATTATTATGACCCTCCAAGGAAAACTCCATCATCCCCCCACCCAACGACGTACCGCAGCTACATATATATGTATAAAAATAATATATATATATACATCCCGTCAAGCGACAGTCTTTTTTAAACAACACTCTTCATCCTATCCCGTTCCAATACTATTGTTGGTCTCTGATGCACGAATAAATTAAGACCTCGTAATAGAATTTGTTTTCAAAATAATAGAATATTTATTCTAATTTCAATAGTAACAAATTAAACAAAAAAAATGGATTTTATTACTTTTTTTTCCAATTTTTTAAATAATAATATTTGTTTAATACTTTTTTTATTTTTTGCATAATTTATATTTCCGTTTAATAAATTATATAAATATAAATAAAAATAAAACAAAACAATATTTATATATATATATTTTAAAAATTTATAAAGATAATAAATAAATTTTATAAATAGATACATTTCCATGTATTTTAAAAAATAAAACCATTAAAGCTAAACCCACGAGATATGATGGTTGAATTATATATATATATTACCCTCTAAGAATGCATGAATAATGTATATATATAATAATATATATACCTGTGAGCTCAAACACAATCACAGCCGTGGACACGGTGTGTGTGGCGGCAGAGGCAAAGCAGGCGGCCCCCACGACCGCGTAGGCAGCGGGGGACACGCCCGTGTACACCAGCACCCGCAGCACCTCGCCATAGAGACGGCCCACGACGGCGCCAAATGTAAAGAGCGGCGTGAAGATGCCACAAGACAGAGGCAGACCGCCGCACGGGAGTAAAGTGACAGCAAACTTTAGAGCGAGGTACGTGAGCAGGTACAAGTGGGGAGGGAATAGCGAAGCAGAAGCCTGGGCAATGGATGGCAAGTTGGCCAGTGGAATGTCTTTGAACATGTCGTTGATCAGTTGGCGGTCAGTCCATCGAAGCAGGTGAAATGGGAACGTTAATATGCCAGTTACAAAGCAGGCTAGGATGACGTGGAGGTACCGACGCTGCCACAAGGCTCGAGTCGCGACGAGTTTCTAACAAAGAGTTGGTCAACAAGAAGATTGTAACAAGTGATGGAATCAATTTATAATTGGTGGGAATATATATATATATATATTGTGGGTTCGGTATGTACAAATGTCGAGACCCCGTCGAATCGAATCACGAATCATTGACGCGATTGGCTAATATCCAATTTTGAGAGGATTTGATTGGCTCGTGCAGAAAGGACAAGTATACTCCACCAATCACAACTCAGTATTAATTCAATATAAACCACGCGAATTTTGCACGTTTATAGCGAATAATTCACAAGATATAAAGTGGATGTCGAAGAACTGCATACCCCAAAGATGGACGTTTGGAGGCGTTCCAGCACTTGGACGCTACGGACAAACGTCGCCGCGAGAATCTATAAGTCATATCATGAGTATGTTTAAATAGTATATATATATATATATATATATATATATATCAAAACATGTATTGTTGTGAAGTTGGATTTGGAATACAATAGTATTCGAATCGAACAGTTACTTGACATCCAAGTCATATATATATATATACCCCACAGAGAACCCCAAGCAGCAAAAACCCAAGCAATTCCCAGCCCAATTCAAAGTCGGCAAACTTGGTGTTGGTGAACAGCACGTCGTTCTTGAGTACGGAAATGATCTGGAATGTCAACACACACACAGACGAGCTGATCACGCTTTGCCACAGGTTTCTACAAGGAATTGTTTATATATATATATATATTTGAGATCATGGAATATATATAGAATCACAACGAGTCGTACTTGATCGCATAGTATTGGGATGTGACTTCAATACTAAACAATACACCTCCAAGGGGCGATCCAAATACAGCCGTGACCCCACACGCGACGCCTAGAACCACCAGATAGTGTGTGATATATTCCCCATCGAATGTCATAAATATATATTCCATCGTATCTCAAATATATAGATATAATAATTTTTAAATATTTAGAGGAAAGGTGCGTCGAGTCTACATCTTATCCATTTTACACGCACACGTAAATGGTACTACATTCGATGGATATATATATGAGAGATTGGTAATATAAATACAAGCCGCCGTCTTCTCCAATCTAAATATATAATATATATGATCAAACACAATTATATATATATACATCCACCCCGATACGACGAATACATAGTCGAATGGTTCAGGAATCACAATCCATATATTTACCTGCTCGAATGTACGTAAAGTTGTCTGCGGTGGGGCGAAACACCGAGAGGCCGCTCAGTTTGTCGGCCATGATGGAGATCATGTGCAGGAACGGCCCTTCCTTCCCCACAGACAGCCCCGACGCATTGGACAGCACAGTGCCGACGCACCGCGCCACCAGCGCCGCGTACGACAAGACGTTCGATGCGTTCAGTTGACCTGCCAGCAGCGCCTTCATCTGCGGGATGCCAGACCCGTCCGAGTTGGTCGAGATGAAGTACCCACACGAAGTCGCGAGGACCCCGCAGAGCACCGTCCAAGCGATCCAGACGAGGTACGAGCCCAAGGAGTCGTCGCCCAGATGCGTTACCATACGTTGCCGAAGCGACACGATCATGACAATCCAATAGTCCATCAGCGACCTGTCCATTGAAATGTGATGTGGAAATGTATGCAACGATGGGTACGTGTGTATGTACCCGAGTAAGGCAGATAAACAACCAAGCGTAATGAGGAATGTCCACGTGATCGGCGAGTGCGGCAACGACTTGCACATGTTCCACACGCGGCGGCCGATCGTCGGCGGCGAAATGTTGTCGGTGAGGCTGATGCGTCGATTGGACCGCATCTCCCTCTGGTACTCTTCCAACGACGATGCATGGCGCCACGTGTCTAGAGATGCATGATGTGCACGTATCCTTGTACGAGGAGAGGTCATGGAGCATGCAAGTTCTCACCGAGCATTCCCGTGATGGACATGGTACGTCGTTGTGTTCTAGTCTCCGTTATTTCCGTTTGGGGCAAGTATCCGGATATATTTATATCCGGAAAAAGGACCGCAATGAATTGACTTAAGGAGATTTCGTGCGATATCATATTTAACCAATGAAAACACTCCTGTACAATGATTGGATAATTCAATCACCAATCCATGCTCATCGTGAAACTCTCTTGACCATATACTTACAGTATATGGTAGCCCTTGGCACGCTGCATGATACGAGTACAATTTTGCGACGATGGAATATCAAAGTCATGTACTAGGTTAGTATTTTCGACATGAATGTTGACTGTAAGCATCCATGCCGTCACAACGACCTTGCCCGCTTGTAAGGGATCAGCTACAGTATCGTCGGACGACTCTAACATGCCTCTGCATGGAATAATGCAACGTCATACTACTAGTACGCGGGAGCAGCAAGCGATTCCGCTTTGAGATTGATTGAAGCAGAATAGAGTGCGTTACGGAAAATTTGAGATTGACAAACGTCAAAATGTAAATGTGCATTCTACGGAATTCGAAGGCCAGAACTTGACTTTTGTATGCAATCGTAGGCGGCGTACGATTTCGCCATTTTGAAATCCTCCACCTCACTCTTTTTCAAAGTTATAATCTCTGTTACGAAGCAAGTATTGAACTATTAACTTGCCTATCTACAATTTTCCACATTTTCCTCTGTTCTCCAACAATTCAAGTGCACGCAAATGCATATATTCTACTTCAAGAGTATCGTTAATAACGTTATCACGTGATTGGGTGTTTACCTTTGAGGATCTCGATGTATGTACTACTAGATATGATTAGGTTCAAACAGAACACAAATATCATCCCGTTTACCAGAGCAACGTAACTAGTACTTCGAAGTACACTGTAACCTTTTTCATGACGACGAGGCGATCCGGCAGTGGTAATATACCTTCATGAAATGCCTTTTCCACTTTCGACCCCACAAACGAAGCTTCTGTTGCGTCGAGTACACTACTTCTATTCCCATAGATCATCCATCCCCTCCGGTAAGACTGTATAATCAGACCGTAAAATACGGTTTCTGTCCGTGAAACGGTAAAAAATAATCCGAATAACCAACATATCCGGAAATGAATAAGTTTGATTTGTGTGAAGTGTTTCTGCTACTACTGTACTGGATGGAATGCAGTTGAGAAGCTCTTACTGTTAAGAATGCAAGTCGAGGACAGGTGGAAGCCATCTGCACTGTAACCGGTGGAGATGCTCTTAGCGGTGTGCAATACCAGTTGCTCTTAAGTTGAGACATGATGCAGAACACGGTAGACGACCACCATGTCCACAGCGTGCATGGGTACCTTTCGTGCCGTTTCACGCAAGTGGAAGTTACACGTTGTCCCCATCATACCTATCCACATAACCATCATAGAGGAGTGTCCATGGGGGAGTCAGATCCCCTCACACAATACTTGAATGTCGTGTATGATGTGCATGAAGCCACGACGGTGATCTTGGACACGACTCCGCTGCCGACGCGGCCAGCTCCGCCTTTGCATCAAGTTCGTCGACCACAGACAGCCCGGCAATTTCGCACGACCGCCTCTGCGTCACGTCATATCCTTCCCAACAATCTCCCATGCCACAGCACCATGCTCCATCGACCCACCGTCAAGTCTGTGCGACCCCAGACCGCTCGACCCGACATTGGTCGTGGACCTTCTGTAGCCACAGTACACGATGCCACCAAAGCCGAGAAAGCCGAGCAAAAGCACATCCGCCGCCGACTCGATGCGTTTCTTATCGGCGACAAAGCTCACGCCCATCGGGTGTTTGTCGGTGTTGCTCCAGAACCAGGCCAGCAACGTCATAACAACGACGACAACGACAACACTGAGAGCCACAAACAGCCCTCCCACACCAAGCCTCCGCAGCACGTTCAACGAATACGACAGCCCCCCCGCCGCCATCCAACTCCCGTCGCAGCCAAGGCGACCAACGTCGCCTTCGTCTCCCATGCAAGGCATGTTCGACCAGCCTCTCGAGAGGAATCATTCGTGTACAACTTTAACCCGTCAGAACGGATGATTGCATTCCAGGCGAACGCGCATCTGTCGAGCGACGAAACTATGGCGGCGGCTGAGATGACACCCGTCGCCAAGTTGAGTCGACGGCTCGAACGCCACGTGTCCGTCCGCCGCGCGCACGACAGGTTCATGACCAAAGGAGGATCGCCGCCACCCCTTCACCACCATGATGGACATTATGTGCTCGGTCGAGGAACTAACCTCATCCATTCTCCATCACGTATTCAGCATGGCTACCAGCCCACATGTAAAGCTACATCCCACACTTTAAACACCGTCAGAAGCACCCAGTGGCTCCACCCGAGCGACTCGCACGCGACGTTGGCTACAGTCGACTCGGCTACGTGCTTACATCAACCTCGTCAGCCTTGCGGTGGCGGCGGCATGAAGCGACAGCCGTCCGTCGTTGGAATGACATTGGGAGCCTCGCCAACCCGAAGCGCACTGAAACCACCATCGCATGGAGCTACCTTGCAAGACGGAATACCTCGGGGAATGATGAAGCGCCAGTCGTCGGTGACGGCGCTGCGATCGAGGCAAGCGAATTCCGTTGCCGAAGTCGTGCAGGCACGGACCAAAGCCCGTCAAATCAAGAATCGACGAAGGCTAAAGTCTGGGGCGCAGTACGTCGAAGAGTATCGTGGTGCTGTGGCCAAGCAACGCGCCGAGCACGCCGCCATGGCGAAGGAGGCACCCCACCCCACGTCGATCACAACCGAGGACGACATTGCCAGTCAGATCAAGTACTCGCACATGGTGGACGGATTAGAGTTGTGGAGGAAGCATGTGCTTTCCACCGGTCTTCCATCTTCGTTTGGAGCTGGCGACGACGCAGCGCCGACGTCCGTCTTGCGCATGCGACCAAGGTCGGCGGGAGTGACTCGAGTGAAACCGTCAATGTTTTGATTGGCCAATAAAGAGTATATGATGGTCCCTCGATTGATGGAGTTGTTTCTATTTTGATGATGGATTGGCTGGAATATCTAGCTTGTATTCAAACATCAATCGACTCACAAATTCTGACCATGACGTCCACATGGGGCCGTCGGATTGACAGCATCCTGGCATAACTTGCCGCCACCACCAGAGGAGTACGATTCCTGTCACAGTTCCGGATACAAGATCCGGATGCACTTGGCTGTACCACGCCACACAGGTTGAAGACAAAGTCAGACACGAACCCACGAGCTGCCAACGACGCCGCTACGTGCCAAGGAAACAGCAAAGCGCCACCGCCCCATTGCTTCGGACCATCCCCGGCCCTTTTATGTTTACCAGCTCAAGATGACTGGTCCTGCTTTGCTTAGCCGTAGCGTTAGAATACAATAACGCTATCAATTCACTTCTCAATTTACCAGCGACTGTTCCTTCCTCTGCGCACGCACGTTTACACCTGGTAGCACTCCAAGTTCGTCCACGGTTTATGTCATCCTCCTCCACCCCAATTACGCTAGCGCATCAACTGGTTCTCGACCGCATGTACCTGGTATTCGGCAAACAAGACACCGCAACCCTTCTTGGTGGTCTCTCCCCCGAGAGCCAAGCTAGTCTGGTGGAGGGCTTATCGACCAAGCCGTTACATATGCCGTCACCCTCCTGACTGCACTTCACGCAGCTCTCGAAAGCCAGGCCACGATGGCAGCCCATGGTCTTACCTTTGAAAATTTACTTGGACAGAGCGCGAGTGAAGGCGAGCGCTAAACATTCGCGCTCCATACCTCCGAACAACAAAGCCCCGCGCGGCTGAAGCCGATCAAGCTCGAGGCCATGAAATTCGGTGGTGCGCTGTCAGACAAAATCCTCCGCTGGTTCCACTATGATGAGACGGCTGCGAACGCGCAGCGTATTCTAGATGATGTCACTCGGGTTGCATTTGTGATGTCGCACTTGAAGGGTCGTGCCGAAGACTCGGTGTTTTTCAAACACCTCAAGGACCCTTTTTGCTTCTCCCCCCTCGATGAACTCACGCATGAAATGAAGACCACGTTCCTGCCCCCCAATGGCGACTTTCGCTGTCGCACCAAGTATCTTGAATGCAAACAAGAAAAGCGTTCCCTCCAAGGGTACATCCACGACCTTCGCGTTTTGGCAGCGAACAATCGATCCCTGAAGTGATGCGTGTTACTATGTTCATGACCGGGTTGAGACCAAGGCCCCACGCGAATTCAGCGAATATCCTACCACGTTCGAAGCCGCTGTTCGAATCACGCTCTCAGAGTCGCTTTCATCGACGCTCGCCCATAGCCGCACGAATTTCTCCGAGATTGAAGTCTCGGTGGTTGCTCATAGTGCTGAAGATCGCAAATGTTTTAACTGCGGTCGGGTGGGTCATCTTTCGCCGGTTTCTCGTTCCCCCGCCGTGCAAACGACACGGGGGACTCGATCGCGCCTTCCTTGTCGAGGGAAGTGGTGCCGATGATCTCGGCCGCGACGCTCTCAAACAAACACGTCAGCGCTGCTCCCAACGCAGTCGACGACCATGTCCCCAACCAAGTCGACAATCACCGACGGGTTGCGCGGGTCGTCTTTGGGGATGCCCTGTTCGACCTTGCCGACGTAGGCGGCCTAGGTGTAGACGCCCCGCCCAATTGCACGAACAGCGCCACGACCGACGAGCCAAACCCGACCATGAGCATGGGGATTTCCGTGGCACTCATGACGGGCGTGAACGCGGCATGCAGCAGCATGTGTTGAATGCTCACGCCCGCCACGAACAACGTGATATCGAGGACGGCGGAAAACTCGCCACCGCGGAAGCAGTTGAGCTTAAAACCTTTTGTTAATTTTTTAATAGGTTTTTGTTTTTTTTGTTAAATTATTTATTTAACAGCGCCTCACCGTACGAACGATGCGCGGGCGCTCTCCTCCATCAAGGTGCTCCTTCGTTGGCCATCAGTGTAAATTGAATTATTATAAAGATTGCTTGCTGCCTCCGATCCAATTTACTTGCACGAATCAGAATTTTAACGTATTCCTCCTCCAATAAAAATATTTTGTTACAACCTCGAATATACAGTGTAACGATAACGTTAAGACTTGTAAGGTCATGTAAGGTCTACATGGAATCATCGTGTTCATAATCGCACATTATTAAGGGATAACAACATTGATTTTCATTCGAGCTTGCTTCATAAAAGAGCCTGTGTCTTAGGCCATGGTAAGAAGTTCACTCCAGTTGAAGGTGCGCTCAAATTGGTCAATGGATTTGCTTGACTGTGAATTCACAATCGAATCGTTAGAACAATGAAATCGCTAAAACATAAGCAATGATCGCATACATATTTTGAGTTTAAACCATGCGCGATAAACCGTCCCACCTAATTTGTCTTGATTTGAGTGGAAATCTGAGCACTGTAAATGAGCCCCAAGATGAGCTCTATCCAAGCCGATTACATAGTACAGAAGGATACCCAATCTTTCAGCCTCTTTCAACACTTTTCAGAATGAAATCCTTGTCCTGGGTGGCTAGAAATCTGCATTTGACGAACGAGGTCCCTTTCAAGTGCATCATAAATTGACCATCTACATACGGTAAATACAGTATGGCCTCACTTGTCTCACTTGTCAACTTCAATGGTACCTTTTAGAGTTATGGTTAGCAGAGACGTTTAACTTGTTGTTGGGACCGCTTAGGCACAAGTAGTGATAAACGATTGTGATTATTTTGCAACTACCTGTTTGTCTAGTACTACAACTTGGCTAGACTATTCTTAGGTAGTGTAAATAAACGGCTAACTGGAGGTCAATAGTCAGTTCAGTTGAAGCTAATCTTGGTTGGTTTCGGCGGTTGCTTCGAAAGGTTGCCATCTTGA